TATGTATATCCCAGACTCATAGTTTAAACAAAAAGAATAAAGCAGGCTACGACAATTCATTAATCCAAGTGACCTGGTAAAACCTTGCAAAGACTTTAAGCCAGCAGTAATGCTGGCACTGGTGAGGCACTGGTGAGGCCGCACCTCGAATACTGTGTTCAATTTTGAGCCCCTCACTACAAGAAGGATGTTGAGATGTTGGAACGTGTCCAGAGAAGGGCAACGAGGCTGGTGAGGGGTCTGGAGAACAAGTCTTATGAGGAGCGGCTGAGGGAGCTGGGGTTGTTTAGCCTGGAGAAAAGGAGGCTGAGGGGAGACCTCATCGCTCTCTACAACTACCTGAAAGGAGGTTGTAGCGAGGTGGGTGTCGGTCTCTTCTCCCAAGTAACTGGCGAAAGGACGAGAGGAAATGGCCTCAAGTTGCGCCAGGGGAGGTTTAGATTGGATGTGAGGAAAAAGTTCTTTACTGAAAGAGTGGTTAAACATTGGAACAGGCTGCCCAGGGAAGTGGTGGAGTCCCCATCCCTGGAGGGATTTAAAAGACGGGTAGATGAGGCGCTTAGGGACATGGTTTAGTGGGCATGGTGGTGTTGGGTTGACGGTTGGACTCGATGATCTTGGAGGTCTCTTCCAACCTTAATGATTCTGTGATTCTAATGCTGGTACTGCACACCGTGTATTTCAGCAGCCAGCATCACCTTGCAGTCATTACTGCAGCGCGACTTCGTTACTCGCCACTGCTGCCGCGGTGGGAGAAGTGAACACGATACAGCCTCCGAGAACCAAAAACACAATCCTACAAACAGCTCTGGAGACCGAAGAACTTTTGCAAGGCGGAGGTCCAAGCCACGCCACCATCTGCAGAGTCCACCTCTTAGAAGGAAGGATGCAGGACGGATGGTCTCATCAGCTGACTCACAGCACACTTTCACCACTTCATTTCCACCTTAGTTAATGCGTGTTTTTTGTCCACTCCCGACTTGGGGAGGAATACCGTGAACACCAATGGGGGATTTTATAAATGCCTAGTACAGAGTTGCTGACTTCTTACAGCGTTTAAAACAAAAGGAGTTTCTGCGTATGACAATAATAATTGAAAAAGTTTGAGAAACACATGCAAGTTGAATAGCATTCTTAGAATAGGCACATAATTACCTATTTTATAAACTCACTTCCCGGGGTCTGATAAAATATCATTTTGAAAATAATTTCCATACAATTTGCAAAACCAAATTTGATAACCGTCCGTGCAAAAATCAGTAAAAAGAAAATCAAAGTACTGAAAATACTGGCAATTACCACAAAATGTGGATGGAAGTCTCTTGCAGAAGAAAGAAAAATAAAAATGTATTTTTACCACTTCCACCTGCAAGAATAGGAAGAATCCTGCCAGATACTTCCCCTCAAACCCATCTCATATTGAAAGCTGTCTGAACAGGAGAATCCAACGACAATATGTTGTCAAGTTTTATATATAAATTCTGCACATATAAAAAAGGTAGGCTTAAAAATAAATGCCATATCACCCCTTCCAGCCAGCCACTGCCACTTGGTCACAACAGAAACACACTGCAGACCACCCCCTAAAGAACCAGGCCCATAAAGCAGAATGGGGTATCCAACAAGCAAAATAAATACAAATCTTACACTATCTGTATTTAAAATACCCAAGAGTAATTATTGGCAGGTAAGAGTAGTTCTCTGACAGCTGGAAACAGCGAGCACCAGCTTGCTGATTTTACATCCACCCTGGTCTCCTGCCTTGACCCTGGTGGGTGCTTTTCCCCAGCAGCCCCATTGACAAAAGCAACACAAACGTTGGTGAGATCCACGGCAGTCGTGTTTAAGAGAAGCCAAATTTCACGGGCAACGAGTCCAAGGGGCTGCGGCTCCCACAGAGTTGCATGCCGAAGTTTAAATATGGCAAAGCAAAAAGCTATGGTGTCTTAGCCTCTTTCTTTTCTTTTTTACTTTCTGGAGCACTAAAATTGAATGGAAATTTAATAGGAAGGTGATAAAAAGGCTAATGTTCAAATGCAGCCCTGCCCAGCCTCCTGTATTTCTCTGCAGAATCACCCATGTGAGACTACCAAAACTATCCTCCTGCTCTCAGGCAATTAATCTGCAAAAAATATTGCGAGTCTCAGAGAGCTGTAACATGAGAGCAAGCGTGAGAGAGCAGACCGAGGTGCTGGCTGACAAAGAAAATCTATAAACAAGTAAAATGAAGAGAAATCAATTTTCCATCCTAAATCCCAGATGAGAAAATAGAGATTTTTATGAAAAAAGCAGCCATGTGGCTGCTTTCTTGATAGGACTTTTTGGTTGAACAGCTTTTTTTTTTTTTTTTTGATTCAGCAGCATCATAAGCTTTGTTACTGCTTGAGACGGCACCTCTCATAGCTGGTCCAAAGCGTTTCCTGATGGATAACAGCCCCGCTCGCTTTGAAGCTGCCTCGAGCCTCCAAGGCCGGCAGGTTTGAGAGAGATCTTTGATTTCAGCTGCACCAAACCTCGCAGGCTGCTGGTCAGCTTTGCTGGAGCAGACGGAGGAGATGGTTTGAGAAACAAACATTCTCCAAGTAAGCACACTGGAAGTATCAGTCTACCTTTATCCTGCTCTTTTCTGCCTGCACACGAATGTGCTACTTACCTCCACCCAAACACATGGCATGCCAAAAACTGCTGCATCCAGAGCCAGCTGCTTTGGATCTTAAAAAGTTCTTAAATAAGCCTGGATAAGAAAATTTTGGGAAAGCGGAATGAATCCAACATTACTAACAGGCACTGGGACACATGGACTTGTCTCAGAGAGGCGGCTGGAGAAGGTGGCCAGCCCGGGGCAGATCCCACCTTCCCCCCGTTGAACAGCACCTTATGCCATAACGGATCCCCTAAAAAGCCACAGGGTGTCCTCAAGGCAGGAGGTGGTCGTTTCCTGCTTCAATCAGTGCTGCATTAAAACCTTATTATCAGCTTTCATGAACGAGGTCTGTATCAGTCCAGAGTCTCTCACTTGGCTCTTCCAACGAGGAGCCACCAGCATCTTCCCTGCATCTCAAAGAATCATCGAATCATTAAGGTTGGAAAAGACCTCTAAGATCATCGAGTCCAACCATCAACCCAACACCACCATGCCCACTAAACCATGTTCCTAAGCACCTCATCTACACGTCTTTTAAATACTTCCAGGGATGGGGACTCAACCACTTCCCTGGGCAGCCTGTTCCAATGTTTAACCACTCTTTCAGTAAAGAAATTTTTCCTCACATCCAATCTAAACCTCCCCTGGCGCAACTTGAGGCCATTTCCTCTCATTCTATCGCTTGTTACTTGGGAGAAGAGACCGATCTCCCCTGACAACGTTCCACGAGCCACCAATCTCCTATGGCGTGGGCAACGTCAGAGCGAAGAGGCCAACCAGCAATGGGAGAGAATACAATAGCAGGGCTCTAAATACTTGTCATACCTTGTGAGACACTGAATATTAAAATTCGTAACAGCAGCACTGATTTTAGAACAGCACTGTTCTCATTTGGGGTGTTATCAAAACATCTGGACGCTTGGCCCAGTCTTTTTTTTTTTTTCTTTTTTAGGACTTTTTTCTTTCTCCTTCACCTGGCAAAGACTAGACAGAGATCACTTAATTTAAAACAAAAATGGCTTGTTTTATAACATGGCTTTAATGTGTGACTGCAGCTGAAAGAGTGCAACTGTGTGCGGTTAAAGTAGAGTTTTCTACGACACAGCCTGACCCATGCCTTCCCTGGAACCAGCACAGGCTAAACGTCAACTTCTTTACTTTTAAATCTTTTCATTAAATTGGGAACAGCTACAGTATAAACGGCAGAGAATCAGCACATCTCTCCTTCCTGGAGGAACATCAGGCATCTGCAGACTTGGGGTCTCCAGTGAATCCCCTCTCCCCAGCTCTCACCCCGGCTAACTGCACTTCACAGCTCCCGCCTGTCCTGTGCGATTGCAAGAGGGAGGTGTTTAATTCACCGCCTTGCAAAGAAAATCCTGGCGAGGTGTTCTACCGTTCAAAATCTCATACAAATATGTGCACTGTGAAACGTGGTAATCTCAGCTAATTACAGACACACCTTCAGCTCTCGGTACTCAGCCTCTTCACCAACAGAGCAAGACGAGGGGACACAGCAGAAGACAAAGTGGTAACGGCCACTTTGAGGGAACAGAGAGCAGGTTTGGTTCAAAAAGGAAAAGAAAAGATGGAAACGGAAAAGCAGAGCTGGGGGGTAATAAAGCATTGCACTTGCACAGGTCTTGAAAGGTCCTGATCTAAAATAACCTGTTAATGGGGTACCCTGGGCCAAGGGGGGTGGCGAGCAGGGGACACAGCAGGACAGCTGCATGACAGGCTGACAAGACTCTTCGGCTTTGAATGTGATGCTATAAAATAGAGTTAGGCCTGGGAAAAGTGTGTATATTTTACACCTTTTAAACCCCTGTAAATAAAAAAGGTTTATTTCTGTTTAACTTTTGTCTTCTGCAGGGCTGCAATGCTGTGGTTCCAACGACATCCAAGACCCAGGAGCACAGCAAGACTCCCCCGAGCTTTCGTGTGCCCCCACCACTCCAGCTGTTCACTCTGGTGCATACTGTCTACATTCAGTCGTCCCTGTCCTCACATTTGTTTTTTCCTTTCCTTCTACCCACCTCCACGGATCTCAAACTCTCACATCAGGACCCCATGTTGCAGCACAAGACAGACCTGCTGGTTTTAATATCGCGTTCCTAGCCAGCCATTCAAAAAAAAAGTTCTGCTGTTGATGTTTCTTCTGCAACACCCCAATATCAAACCAACAGCCTGGACAAATCCCCCCCCTCGGAGCCTGTTGCATTGATCTCTACCACCCTGCGCCAGTCTAGTCCTTAGCAGAAGATGAAACCAACCTGCGCAGGCTCAGAGACAGACAGAGCAGAGAAAAGGTGTGGTGACCAGTGGCAGGCAGCCACCGGGCACGGTGGGGGCTCACCTGTGGCCGAGGATGGCCGGTGACCAGGCAGTTCAGCTCCAGCGTCTCGCCCTCACGGATGGTGTAGACCCTCTCCGAGTAGCGCTCCTCCTCGATGTTGCACGCCAGGCCCGAGTGCACGATCCGCACGGTGGGGGGGGCTGCAAGACCCAGAGAGAGAAACCAGGTGAGCATCATCGCCTGCACCCCCGGGGTATGCTCAGACCCATTTCCATCGCAGCAGCCCGGGATCCTTGCATACACCTAGCTGGGAGGACCGAGGCTGGAGCTGAGTATGTTCACTGTGGAGAATACTCTTTTGCTTACTCAGCATACACACATTCGGCACCAGAAGAGATTGCCACGGTATTTATTAATACCTAGCAATCCCCTGAACGAAACCTTTGCACACTCATTTGCATTCCAGCTATTTTTGTTTCAATTTCCAAATGAACTCTGCATTATTTATTATTTTTTATTATATACCTTTCTAAATGTATTATCACACTCATTATGCAAATGAGAAGCCTTAATTAAACCATTAAAATTAAGCAGGAGAAGCAGTGGGACTGATGCTACTTCCTTTCAAAGTCGATACCAAAATCCTGTTGCTGTCAGAGGGATCAGGATTTGGACCAGAGCTTAAGCTGAAGCAGAACCCTTACTTTAATTTTCTTGTATATGCAACCTGAACTACAGGACGTTACGCTGTTTTACATGATGTACATGTAGGAAAACTGCAATGCTGTTGCTAATACCACATGTACAAATTAGAGCTCAGTTTCAGCAAGTCTCCAAAGCATGTTCCTAGCTCTACGATTTTCTTTATTTCTGAACCATACGAAAGTTGAGTTACAGATTTCCTACTGCAAAATAAAGTAACATAAACTAAACAGCAGAAGAGATAAAATGTAATTCTGGTGAGTTTTAAAGACCCAGTATTTCACCCTCTCTGCTCAACAGTGCACCGCTCCTGTTCAGTATAAGTGGATACACCCTCAAAGTCCTAACTGAAGTCTTAAATCACAACCAGCAAGAAGAACAATTAGAGCTGAGCCCAACAGGACTGAAAGCTGTTGAGCTCCCGGCCCCGTTTCCCATGGGCAAGAACCCCGTGCTGCTGGGAAAACATCCGTGCGTTCTCCCCACGTCCCTTGCAACAGCAGCAACAACCCCCCCAAGACTGCAGACCCATTTTCAGGGCTCCGTGCTGCACATCGCCTCCCTCTCACACCAGTCTACTGGTTCTTTGATCAATTTGCAATTACTCAGCTAACACCCATGTCAAGTGTTCATGGGATTCCTGGGGTGCATCACTCTGGCACCCCTGCAGAACCTCCCCATCAGCACGCCATTACTGGTTCAACCTGCACATGGCTCCTATCTGACTGTCCTGGTTTCGGCTGGGATAGAGTTAATTTTCTTCTTAGCAGCTGGTACAGTGCTGTGTTTTGGATTTAGGGTGAGAACAATGTTGATAACACACCGATGTTTTA